GGGGATCACTTTGAAGGATGCCACCCACTGGATGATAAAGAATAACGCTAGCACGAAAATATAAAAGTAGGCACGATACTTTCCGGACAGACCTCGTATATTACGTTATATTAAGTAAATAAGTCATTAAATTTAATTACTTATTTAATTAACTAATTTATATATTATTTAAATAAATATATATAGTATGATAGAATATGAAATTATTTTTTCGTTAAAGGCATTTACCGCAAACAACGTTGGAACCGCACGAGTAGCAGACGATCGAGCGGCCGAGCGACTAGCGCGCGGGTCGTTTCATTTTAGTGATGTCTTAATCCTGATAGCGGGCACTTGATTTTCTGAACGTTTTCTTATGTAAAAAATGACAAGGAACGCGATGGTGCAAAAATTTAAAAAAAATGTCTTTTTTTGAGATATCGTTGATTTTTTGAAAAAATTGTTTATAACAATGGCATAAATAAATGATTTGGTATTTTACTATTTACATTTTAAAAGTGAAGTTCTTTCCGCGGCTTTTATAAAAAGAATCATGTCCATATCTTTATTAGTCTCCTAGAAATCGAATTAATAAAAAAAAGTCCAATATTTTTTAAACAGTTGATAAGTTAGCCCCTTATCAATATTTTGATCCAAAACTCTGCACAGATGTTAACCTTTGTATAGGTAACAAGTCTACCAACTTTGAACAAAATTGGTGATTTGATGTTTTAAACTGTTTGAAATAGCCAAGAATTGCCTTACCGTTAGGCCTTTCATCTTGCAATATTATCTCGTACTTTTCGTGATCTAAATGAAAGAGAAACAAATTAAAGAGAAAATAAATAGATATTCCATATTATTACGTAGCTTATATGGTAGTTCTACTCAAGATCTTGAGTTGGTCTAGCTTATGCTTGGTATCATTATAATATTGCAGTAATACTTCCATTTTATTTATATATTTACATTTAATTTCTTTCAAGTTCCGGCTTTAGAATGTTTTTACGATAGTTACAAATTCTTATATTTACGAATTGCTTTTAGATTATACTTATCATAGAGGCATTGGTGTTAATAGTAACATTATGCACACTATAATCATTTTTACTGAAAAAAGTATTTGAATTATTTTCATGGCTGAATAATGTACAGGAACTATCTGAGACAGTAGTCCTGATTTTGCCACATCTTAAGCGAATGAAGCGCAATATATTGGGGTGTAATAGACGAGTACTGATTTGCATGTCATCTTTACGTTTTCCGATTCGTCTTTCACTTCTAGAACTTTGTGGAAACCTCGATATTAAGGCACGTGTTTTTCAGTTCTTGGTTCTAAAATTAGCATGACATAATCTCCATCCTTAAAAGTATAAGGATTACATTTTCTATCATAACAATTTTTGAAACGTTTTGTTGCATTTATCAAATTTGTCCGAGCAACTTCCTGCACATCAGTCAGTCGCTCTTAAAATCTAGGTGATATCAATACGTATCAACAAAGTCTTCTTCAAGTTCTGGGCCAGGCGCGTGAGTTAATTTATTATAGACGCACTTGTACGGTATTAGTTTCGTGCCTTCATAGACACTTGTGTTATAAGAGAAGGCGGAGCATTCAGTCCATGAGTCATTCACTCCATTAATAATATAAGTATTAATAATACTTCTATTATTAATGCAATTTGTTATCCATCCGGTTATTAAATGGTGCATCCGTTTACCTCTGCCATTGGATTACATGCTTTTATGCGACAGAGTTTTGTCATATTCTTCATTAGTGAACTAGTAACATTTGTGCCATGATCTGTTAAAATTAATTTCGGATAGCCGTGAATGAATTAAAAACATGCTTGCTATAATTTAAGAAGTTGTTTATGGGAGTTTTATTAATCTAATGTTTTATTATTAAACAATGAATTGTTAGAAAATAAATATTTTCCATCAAAATGATTAGTTATTTCCTTTTTGCTCTACAAAGCTTATTAATTTCGCAAGTTTTGCAGAGGCCAATAAGTTTCTGTATTTAACTTTTTATATTCGGCCAAGTAGTTTTGTCGAATATATAGGTTTTCGTGACATCTTTGTATCCGTTTATTGGGAACTCATGAGTGTCACGGACTATTTCTTTTCTCATGGTAGTGTTTGGTAATTGTACTAGATTCCTACAAATCAGATTAGTTTGAGTATCTTGAAAATAAATCTTGAGTAGATCGACGATCTCGTTGCAATCTATATCGTTAAGTTTGTTTGTTTTTAAAATTTTAACTGAGAATAAACTATGCGAAAGACATATGTCTGAAAAGGATTCTATCACACTTTTCAAGATTTCTGAGTTTAATTTCATACTAAGGTTTTCTTTTATAGATAGTGCTATGAGATATTTGTTTTCATCTTGATACATCTTTGCCTTAAAAAGTGTCAATTTCTGTTGAAGCTGAAGTCTAACTTCGTTTTGAAGGGTAAATGCTCTAGAATCTACGGGTTACGAAGTAAGTAAGATTATGTTTCACGACTAAGAAGGTGTCTTTAGTTTTATGAGATGGTCTAGGCCTATTTATTTCACTACGATCAAATTCATATTCTACTTCAGATGAGTATGTCTGAGGATGTTTTGGAAGCTGAATTATTTGTTGAAGGCCTGTTTACGATCTGAGATTTATTTTTCGTCGATGGATACTCATCGCAGGATCACCTTTAGTTTCTGGTTGATTTCAGAACTGACCGGTATTGCTTGGTCTATGGCAAGATCCATAAAATCAGTCAAAGTCGTGTCATCAGGATCCGATTCGGAGTTGGGAGACATGAGGGCTATAGTGGGATTTATCAAATCTTCTATTCTTTTGTTCCTATAGCTGCTACTGTGAATTAGGTATTTGTCGTGTTCTGAGGTATAGTACCATCAAGTTTCCCTTGTAACTCAATGGAGACCTTCAGAATTTCTTCTATTCTTCTGCGTTCTTAGTCTGAAAGTCGGTATAATATTCCAGGAATTCTCTAGAGATATAGATTCGTCAATATACATGGAAAATCTATTCTGTCATCATAATTTGAGCTGAAAAGGGCCTGTTGATTTTGTTTTGAGTCAACTATTAAATTTTAATTTGGTGTTGACTGATAATCTTGTTTCGGACGTTTTGCTAATGGCTGTGTGCTTGTTGACTCGATTTTGCTTCGATTTTTGATCACAAATGAATTGAAGTAACGGTGGATGGAATAAATCGGTGGTAGTAACCCGTAAAATTATGGAAAGACTTCACAGCAGTTGTGTTTCCTGGTAATGGAAATTTTTCTAATGCTTCGGCTTTCTTGGGATCCGGTTTAATTCCTTCAGAAGTCAACACGTGTCCAAGATACTTGACTTCCTTGCGATAAGGTCTGAACTTTGTGAGATTTTTATAGTATTTTTGTGAAATTCTTATCATCTGTAATGTTATTCATTATTACACGATGGCCTTGCAGTATAAATAACTAGTAGCAAATGCGTTCTTTTACAATCTTTATTTATCAGTGAAAATTTCGTAAACAACCTCCGCTTCCCTAGTAAGCTTTCATGACTTACGTAATTTGAATTTCTATCTTCTCATAACAAAATTGTCAGCACCGATATGTTCATTCAAATTATCTATCCAGCAATTACGTGTAGTATGGGCTTATATCTTATCATAGTATATCTATCCGCTTTCCTTCCTCTTGCTTTAATTTTTAAGTTAATGCTAACTCCTTAACTGGCAGTGGATCATATATATACATCTTTGAATAACTTTCATACTTTGTATTGGATGTGGACCAAATTTGGTATACAATAATTTTTGAAATTGCTGAATCAAAATAGAATCAAATTAGAATTGCATAATAATTTCAATATATCGCTCTTAAAACGGCATCTTGGAAACCCTCAAGAAAGGAAACTTTCGCAACATTTTTCACTAAATCTGGTATCCACCGATATTATACATAGTTATATATCTAGTTATAATAAACTAACATTAATAAGGGTTTTTGAGTGCACTGATCTTACTGTCATCATACATTTGGCTACAAAATCAACAAACGGGAAGTAGTGTTTGAAGCGAGGAAACTGTTTTTGTGATCATAAAGTGGTTTTTCCTAATCATTCTTCTGTCAATTATAATATATTTATTGTAAATAAAACCAACCAATGTCTATATAACGAAAAAACTAACAACTGGCCGTAAAAAGCTTAAAATTCAAGAAAAAAAACAATCAACATTTACCCCCTTCAACCCCAATTTTAAACACTTTGGGTAGGTTGTTGGTTAAAAATAACTATAGAAATAGATTCAGCAGGTTCTAAAATTCCTAGGAACCATATTTATGTTCATCTAGAAGTATAAATTGTAGCTGCCAGTTTTGGCACGAAAAGTTAGAAAAGTTTTTCCAGTTAAGAGGTTAATGCAAAGTTGATTAAAAAATTTCTTTATGAATTTAATAAGTAGCAATAAACATTGTTATTTAGTGTAATAAAAGGATAATGTTCTTCCAAGTAGTTATATACATACTTCCAAACATTAAGTTCCAGCGGAAACTTTAAATGTTCAATAGTTTAGGCTTTCCAATTTCTGAGTCGGCTTATTCTTGGGCTTATAAAAAAATGTACAAAATTCGAAAGGACACTATTTCCAAAAATGGATCAAGGAGCACAATCGCAGTACTTTCAATAGTTAAAAAACTTAAAATATTCTAGCTTATAAAAATTTATAATCTAATTAATAAAAACATCTCTGAAATTTAAAAGTTCTGAGTCTGAACTGATCAGGAAGTTGAAACTTAAGTCAATCCGAAGTTTTCAGTTGAACTCTAACTAGCTTGAGTTTTGCTTTTAAAGAAGTTCGTATGATACATAATATAGATTAATATTCCAAAGATTGCAAACCAAATGAATTTTTCAACGAATATACATGGAATGAATCGAATATTATTCTGTAATTTAACTAACAACTGGAATAAAATAAATAAATAAAAATAAAAGCACATAAAGAAAGAAAGTAAGACTGAAATACCTTTCGTTTGACGCCGTTGAGAATCCAACCAGATTCTTTTTCGAGAGGTTGCGATCGCGAAGTGAGTACAACAAGATACTGCATATCGCGCCATGTAAGCGTGGGGTTTGCTTCAAGAGCAAGAGCCACAATACCAGCAGCAAGTGGTGCCGAAGCTGAAGTACCAGTGTGCTCTACTGTGCAGATATGATCTTCGCGCAAACCAGCGTCCATATCAACAGTAGTGACACTTTTATCGTTACCAGGTGTACCTGAAGAGTAAGTTGAAGCTAATGTTGAACTGCATTCCTCAAGATACCAAGGTTTATATCCTCCTTGTGTTGCCGAAGAGATAGATAACGTGAATATACTATTAGTGTAGCCATCACAGTTGCAGGAGTCTGTATGACGACCTCCATTTCCTGATGCCCAGACAAAAATCGAACCCTTGCCTTGACGACCCTATTATAGAAGAAATTCAAACATATTTGAATATGACGCTTATGCTTTTTTATTTGAATTTTAATACTATTTCTCACTCATAAATAATAGTCTTTTGCATGAAAATACAAGTTAATGTAAGCGTGGAAATAAAAAGTAAATATATGAAATTTAATAACAGGTTTTACATAGACTTTCGATTTAAAAATGTATTTACTTACACTAGTTACACCATAGATAAATGCACGTCGTGCTAGTGGCCCTGGTCCATCGACAGTTTTGCCGTCATCTTCTGGTCCCCAGGAGGCACTATAAATATCTATATGATCCGGATTTAGACCCAGCGCACGTGCCTCGACAGCATCATTCACGGGACCGTCTAACATACGTACACCTATGACACAAATCAAATAAGTAAGTTTTAAATAGGTAATTTAAATATTAAATGTTAGCATCACATAAAATTTCATTTAAGTATTTCATTAATTATTTTTATGATTGCCGTTTCCACAGCGGTAATGTGTCTTACTTATTGCCAAGGTACACATCACAGGAATGATATTCTTAATTAATAACTACCGAATCTTTCGTAACTAGGAACAATACTAAATATTATTCAGGCTGAAGTCTAATAATAGATTTACAATCTTTCTCCAAATGACGGATACAAATAATTATACATATTATAAATACACGATCCATGCATTTTTCCATATCATATGGAAAGCGTCTTGTAATACTCGAAAGTATCCTTTCTTAAAAGAGAAAATTTTGAAAAGTGAAGTCTCTATTGATTTCTATTGGTCGATTTGAGATAATTATTTGATGTATAGACTATATATCATATAATTGTTGGATGTATTCCACGCACGAAGCGCTCTCATTGACTTCTAGTACAACTAATGGTACGAATATAAAAGTTAGTTAATGACATGCCTTAGCATACAGGTGAAAAATCGTCTAGTATCTGTATGGACCCCACCAGGAAGAGAATTTTCGATACCTTGTTTTCCCAAGTGTGACGGGAAACTCCACTTAATATCAATTTCCTTGTCGTCTCTGACCTCTCGCTGTCTACGCGTGCTATCGTTAAGTCGGGCATCGGTGTAATTGCGTTAGCACATTACTAATGCCTGGTTTGAGGTGCTAATTAGTGGCTTAGGAGCTGAGGACGGATGAGCTGCATGCCTGAGGGCAAGGCAGCATGCGGGAAGGAGAAAGGGAAGAGAGACTAAAATGGAGCGAGAGAAGAAGAAGAAAGACAGTTTGATGCAGATATTTAGCTCGGTGGGTCACCAGTGGTAGTAGTAAAAGTTCGATAGCCGAATTTCGTTCGGAAAAACGTCGGCGGTACGAAGAAAACAAGTATTCAGCATCGTGGATTGCTGCAGGACCTTGTGTTTTGATTGATCTAGAAAGCCAGGTCATTTCTGGCTATTATAGTAGCCACGTTTTAAAGCGAGATCTCTTTGAACGGCAGACCTCGCAAGTGCCATCTGCTCCGCCTCAACGGGGGGACGCGGTGAACACCCAGAAGGGTGGCCAAAAGGCGGCTCTGGCTAAGCTTGCCAAGCAATAAAGGCCGTGGATAGCGACCACGATAAAAAGCTAACTTGAACGCGATGAGCCTCGTTTTGACCCAACGACAGAGTTTTGAAAGATCTGACTTTGGGATGGAACGGGGTAAAAACAACCTTTCGAATGACGGATACCCACCAGCGTGAGCGGGTTGGACCGAAACGCAATGGGGAGACGTACTCCGGTATGTCGAAGCGATGGACCTGTGAGTTGTGGGAGAAATCCCTTAATACAGGAACGCAGGGTGGGATGTATTTTGAACGCGAGCCCAGGAGGGGGGCTTAGTTGGTTGATCGTCTAAGGAATCTTCCTCTGACTGTCCTGGCTGAGTCTCTCCTCTGACATCCCAATTTGGGTTGGCCTCTGCGGGGTAGTGGTACCAGGTCAAGCAAATCTCGTAAGATTTGTATGCTGCGTGCTTCCGACGTAGTAGACGTTGGGGCAACTAGAGTCCCGTCGCGCCCAAACCGAGGGTCAAGCCTTTAGTTCCGCTCTCCTTGAGCGTCGAACCGTGAAAAGATCGGTACTCCTTCCGAGGAGGTCGCCGCCTTAGATTAAAAAGGTTCCGACTCGCTGAGTCGCGCCAGGGATGTCGTAGCAAACTTGACTTCCGGATCCCCAATATATTTGAAAGCGAAGGGGTGAAAGACAGTGGGCTATGCCAACCTAATGGCGCCCAGAGAGAGGGGTGGCAATGTCTTGATTACGCTATACCACCCTCAAATCGGAAAAGTGTGAAACAACGTATACACTAGCTATTATAGTAGATTTGTGGACGTTTACATCATCGCCACTGATGCCCAAGTCCACAAGAGGAGAAGGTGCCGTAACTGGGGCGAGTAGCGACAGCGTGAGCTTTTTTCTTTCTCTTTCCGTTCCTTCCGACTCAATACTGGTGCGTGCATGACGATCACGGTGTCGTGAGCTCCGGACGATCTGGTGAGCAAAAAAATACCACTGATGAGCAATCTTTGATTGTCTAGATCCGTCAGAGAAGCTCACCGTTTTATGTCGGACAAAAATGCCGATTTACGACGGTTGAACACATCTTCGTAAATATCGTTTCGCCCCGAGTGCTTGTTCGAGTGGGATACGCCCGCAAAAGACAGTTTTTTTATTATGATTAATCTCAGTTTGTTTTTAATTCTTCTTCTTTGTTTAAATTTATAATTTTCTTTTATATTTTCTTGGTTGGTAATTTACTAAATTTTTTGGTATTAAGAGTTGTAAATGAGTTTGATTTACTTCTACTTCCCGTTCCAGGCTCTCTCACGCGTGAACGTCGCAACCTGCATACCCGGCAAGTTGCTCAATAATCGTAGCATTTTATCTTCCTAATCTCCGCGTAAATAATTTAGTTAATAGAGTCGCGGGCAAACATTTATTGTAAAATCCGACTTTCCCTTTACACAAGAACTATCGGACTACCGTGTTTAAAAGTAGTCATACTTTTGTTACTACAATTATAACAAAAGTCTATAGTAAGCAGAAATAGTCATCCTCTGATTGCTAGATTTACATTTAATTGTTCAGTATAATTTGAGCCCCTGTGAGAACTATGACATTGGTTTTAGTACACATACTTTTTTTTAAGAAAAAGCCCTTGGTTCCCACAAGAAGTCGAATCCAGATCTCCCGCATGGGAACTTCTCGCTTTATTCATAAGCTGTAGCGATAGTACATACACAATACAATTTCTAAATTAAAAAAAATAACAAATCATAATCCCCAGTTTAGATGAAAATTAACTTAAATTTTTTAATAAATATTTACAATCTGTTCCTTTGAGAAACAATCAGTCAAAGATTTGACATGTTAAATAACAGTGGTGTTTGACATAAATACCAGTAACCTTACAGAAAGCTCAATTGACCTAGTTTGACAGGAATAAAAAAATCATTTGTTATGAAAATCTTTGATGCGAGATGGATTTAGCCTATAAGAAATGTTTATAACTTGAGAGTGTGAAAGATAAAGTCGATATTGGATCTAAAGACTTTTCCCTATGATTGCATTCCACATGTTAAAACTAATTTTATTATACTTTTTCATATAAACTGTTAATTATTTAAAAATAGTAGGAACTTTATTTCAATCAATCAGTACATTTTTCGAAGCTTTAGTTGAAGTTGTTTTTTTTCCATGTGATCAAGGTGCACATCTAAGTATTTCACAGTATCACTGCTAGGAATTACCTTGTTATTTATGGCAATATTAGGATAGTTATCTTCATGCAGCATAAATGTTGTGTGTAACTGCTATGTGTAAATGTTATGTGTTAGTCTTGTTAGTAAGAATTCTGCATTTCTTAAATCATATAATGTATAGTTTAGATAATTTCGCAATTCTACACATGCTTTTGCTGAATCCTAGTGTTCTGCCAAAAGATTAAGACTTTTAAATGAAAATAATTTGTGTAGGTTTTACTTTGTTCAGAAAGTGAAACAAACGTACACATGAATTTATAAATATAAATAGAAATCTGACGGATTTTGATGATAATTCCTTGATCACTTTATCGTTTATGTTATTATGTTCTGGAGTTTTCTTAGCTTTGATTTTCATTATCTTACTTTTTATCTCAGTTATTTTAAAACGACTGATATTTCTCTAATCTTTAGATATGACTTTCGGAGGGATTTTAAAGACTTTTTTGAAGCACTCTGTAAAGATGTAAGATTTTTTTTAGCCTTAACCTATTTTTCCGTGAGGATTTTGACTGGAGATGAATGCATTGTTGGTCTTTTAATTTTCTTAGTTGCACTCGAAAGAGATTAATCAGTATCTTTAGTAAAAGAGAAATCTCATGTATTTTTGAATGTTCCGTTTTTAATAGCATCTTTTTTAATTCTTTAATTGATTTATTTAATTTAGTTTTATTATCTTTGTTTCTTAGAATAGCGCCACATTTTTTTGGACTTTCCTTTTTTCTCAATTGTTTTGTTAATATAAGGTAGGTTTACATAAGAATTACCTTTTTTGCAATTTTAGTCGACGATATTTCATAAGAGTCGAGAATTAATTTCATTAAGTTGGTTATTGCTTCTTCAAGTTCAATCGTAAACTTAAGGCTAACATTATATTTTAGTTTTTCCTCGATTAACTTTCAATACTTATTCTAGTTGGTTTTATTATAAAAAAAGGTGTCTTCATTTGTTAAAAATACTTCTGTAATTAAATTCGATCAGAATAAGACAATGGTCTGAGGAAAATTCACTGAGGTGAGGTACTGTTAGAGTCTTCTTATCGGTATAAACCTGTACACTGCAAGCCTGAAGACGTAGTGTGCAAGTCTTGTTGTCTTTGTCGTTTTTAATGGAACTTTTCATTATTACTATCGAGCCTCTATAAGCTTTTCCATATAAATGATTTGTAACGCAAATACTACAACCTGTGACGGTAAACGTCATATTAGCGCTAATAGCCTAACCTAGTGGCTGCCCGCGGGGGCAGCACCTACCGGGAGAGGGAAAACGTAATGAGGGAATTCGGCACGCGCCGAGGCGGAATGCGCGCGATTGAAAATGAACCAGTGAGGGATTAGCCATCGTCAGGCTTGACCAAAAGGGCAGGACTATCTACCGATACGGAGAGCCGCATATCAGAATAACTACCGATCGCAAAGCCGTGCCGCATAACCTTCTGACGTTGTTCCGAATGTTCTTGGGAGCGTGAATACAGATCAGCTACGAGGATCGAGGGGAGATAGTTGACAGAACTAAGTGTATACGAGTGTGTGCATGAGTGGTGAGTTTCGCCATCGAGGGCGAAACTGCGAGCGAGAGACATCGCAACCGACAATCGGACAGTGCACAA